GTTTAGCAACGCCCCAAAGCATTCAGATACCGTTATAGTTTTTGATAGCATAAAGAGACATCAGCTGCTGTTCAAGAATTTCAGGGCAGTGAGACGTGAATGTTTGATTTGGGAATACCCTGTAATTACGTTTGGGGCAGATTTCTACAGCTTGTATGCATGTAGATTCAACCCACTCTCACCCCATCTTTCATTCAAAGAAACGTGTATTTTTATAAATTTATCAATTTGTGCAGACAATCAAAGTGTGTGATCGTTTAATGGCCGAGTCCATATAGTTGGGCAGGCGGACCACAAGAATTATTCATTTGCCTAAAAGCTTGAAAGTAGCCTCATGAAACCCTCTTCATTCATTAGGCATTTACAGGGCATACGAATCTGCATAAATCAGCTTGAAAATTGAATGAATCTTTGGATGTATTTGGCTCAGTTTGCCGGAACTGACCCCCGTTTGACTCCCAGCGAGGGCGTTGCCAAAATGTCAATATACGAGTCGCCCACAAAAATAATAATAATAAGAAATGAATAAAAAAAAAGAAAACAAGACAAGGGCGCTCAGTTGGGGTCGGAGTTGGATTTGGGCTTGGGCTTGGGCTTGGGCTTGGGTTCGGGGGTCGCAGCTTGGATTTGGAGTTGAAGCTGGGAGTCGGTTGCATGATAAATGACTCTCGCGCGTGCCGAGTACCTTGGGCCGAGTACCTTGGAGAGTTGGCTGCTAGCTGAACTGTTGGGCTACCTGATCGCAGCGTTGTACCGCTGGCTACCTGTATTTTTTGATCGACCAGGTGCTATTTTGATATATGTGCGACGGGGCGCATCCATCAATTAGCCGCAACACTCAACCAACGCCAGTCCAATTGATTTTTGCTGCCCCCGAAATTGATTGCGAGTCATTTATTATGCTGGATGCCGATCCGGCTAGCGGGATCGGATCACTTTGTGCGAGTGCATCATTTGATGGATTAGCCCATTAGCGGCTAATGATATACATAAGGCATGCCCCCCAGCCCCTCTCTCCCACTATTCCACCCCCTCCACCCCTCCCACTTAAGCTCTATGCCGCGCATGTGGCATGCATTTCCGCTTTTAATTATTGCAACGTTGCAATGTGGCAGCGCAGCGCATCGCGTCGCATCGCATCGCATCGCATTGGCCTGGAATGACATGCAACCAAATTGCTGGCAATAAATTTCACACATTTCAGCACAGAACAAAACGAGAACAACAAAAATTAAGAATGATTCGAAATACTTTAAGCGACGATCCTCAAAGCAGCTCAGTTTGTCATGCGACAGCAACAAAAACCAAATAAATACAAAATTGGGTAGGATGAGAGCGAGAAATACGAGACTGAGAGCAACTGCATCCAATGGACGCATTCCCGATTACGAAAACGCCAAAAAATGTGCGATTTTAATTTGATCGAGTTTCGAGTTTCCATTGCCCAAAGTAAGTAAGTAAATCTTTATAAAAAATAAATATCAACAATTCCATTCGAGCTATTTATGAAACAAGAAACAAGAGAGGGTGAGAGAGAGAGAGAGAGAGAGACAGAGCAAGCGTGTAAACAGTGGCAGTTGCTTGAATGCAGTTGCAATTGGCGCAGCAACAAATTGCTGGAATAATTACGCACACATTGACAGCTACAGATTGATATGTTTGTCGGCAAGGACAACAAGAAGGACCATTGGACCAACCGACTGACTGACTGACTGACTGACTGAGAGATCTGGTCTGGTCTGGGATACAAGTGACATGCCACGCGGCTACTTCTGTTGCCCATTGATGAACGTGAGGTGTCAAGCAAATTGACTGCCCGGCCAAGCGACGCGCCCAGCGGCGTCCCATGCACCAATGCGATGCAAAAGGGGGGCCTTAACGATCGTCCAAATGCAGTTGCGAAGGGATTGTCAGTTCGATTTCGATTCGATGTTTTTAAGGGTTTTTTTCTTGCAACTTAATTATTTTCTCAAGTTCTCGAAGAGTTGTATTTGTATATAAATTGCCTGGTTCTGCAGCAAGCGATCCCCCTCTAGCGACGCCTCTGCTTGCGGCTGGCATCTGCAGCGTCGCAGCATTGGAATTCGCTGTTTACGTGAATTACGCTCAAATTACAAGACGCCAATCGAGAAAAACAAGACAAAAAATAAAAACAAGAGAAGAAAACTGTCGAGTTGCAGCGCCTGAAAATAGCTGCGCAGCAATGGGAATGCATTGCAAATTAAAATTGCTAGCAAAACGCTTCGCGGTAAGCTCAAGGGGGGAGGGGTGCCCGATGCAACAGGGTGAACTGGGCGCGCACAGGGCGACACACGTGAGCTGAAGGGCTGTTGAGCTCGTTAGGCGATAACTTTATGCGGCATTAAATTTTATGCGGCCATAAAACAAACAAATTCGTCCCGTACACGCTCATTCACAACACACACACACACACACACACGAGGCATTACGGCGACTGAACACGACATGAGACAACACACGGGCACAACAAAAAATAAACAACAAGAGCTACAAAAACAATTACATGCAACAACAATAACAATAACAATGCCCCAATGGGCTTGCGCCTGGAATGCATGGTTAAAAGTAACAGGCGCCCGAGCAGGGATCAGGGATCACTGGCCGTACCCCGGCTGCAGTAGCCCTACCGGTAGCCCTCATGGTGTGTGTATATGTGCGGTATGCGTGGCGTATCGTTAAGTGGAACAAGAACATGTCGCTTTACGCCCCGATACAACTCAACTTGCGGCCTTGTCTGTATTGTGCCCAACCATATATGGGCCGTACCCGAATGCCAGGTCGCAGAGCTGAGCTTGAACAGCAAGTGCTGAAATGGCATAAAAAGTATGGGCACACCTGAGTCTCAATGCCAAGCCAAGTAACTTAGAGATATCTAAAAAATAGAGTATGGTAGCTTAATGGACGCCCTCAAGGTGTGCACACCCTATGCTGTCTAAGGAATACAATGTGAGCGTTGGGTGGTTGAGTCGGAGGGTACCGCTACGTCAAGCTGGATGTTTTCTAATCACGTGTCAAATCTGTACATCATTTTGATGGTAACTTAAAACCAAAGTTCAAATTCGAGTACGGCCAGAGGGTAGAGAATCGCAATCGGCATCGCAATCGCATTGGAACACAGAGAGGGAGTGTGGCAGCAGGGTCTGCGGGCCTGCAGGGGCTGTGCCTTGAGGCATTGAGCAAAGTCAGCGAGCCCGATGTAAACTGATTAACAAGCCCGATAAGCGGAATGGCTCAAACAATTGCCGTGCACTCGCATTTGCCACTTTTTCTGACGCAGCCTCAATGGCCACAATGGACCATTGTTAGACCTTTGTTCCGCTACCTCTCTCTCTCTCTCGCCCAAGCTCGCCCTCTCTTGTTACTTTGTCCGGAGCATACGGGAGGGGCGTTGCTGTTGTTATTGCCACAGCTGTTCCAATAAATAGCATAATGCCTCGAACAGCTTAACAATAGAGCAGAAATACTTAAGACATTGGCAAATATGTTCCATCGCAACTTGCCGAAATCCAAAGCTGAAGCTGTCTAAATTATCGGGTACTCATATGCTCTTGTGGCTTAAAATATCAATTTCTTGACTCGAGTTCATTTGGAGTTGTCAGGCCGTAGGTTAACTCAGAACTGGAAGTCTTTAACATAGGCATACAGCTAACAGAGTTATCGTAGCTAGGCAGAGATCTCTCAAGGACTTGGATGTCTACTCAAAACAGAGAGAGAGGTAGGGGGATAATTAACTGTGACCCCACATAAGCACTCAGCGGGAAACCCTCGTCTCGGCCTCTGTATAAACAAAATTAAACAAGTTGATTGCACCTGCGGCTCACAACGGGAGCAGGGCTCGGGCAATTGAGCCAAGCATCTAAGAAATGATGTGGCAAGTTAATTTCCGAATGCCCCATAACAATAGATTAATAGCCATACAATTCACAATGTTGTCGACCTGTTGTGCGGTTGTGCTGTCGTGAGCGTGAACCGTGGCCTAATGCTACTGCAATATGGGCGTGGCAGCTATAGGCAAGTTTAGAGTCCCAGCCAGGTAAGAGCGGCGTCTACGTGCTGCCCCCTAGAGGGCTGGCCCATTAATGAGCGCGACAAACTAACGACATTTGTGGCTTCTCGAACGATGATTTATGCGGCTGTTCATTAAGTTCATTAAAAGTGAAAGGATGAACTGAAGATCGGACCGACGGACCGACGGACGATCGAACTGTTCCAACTTTACATGCGGCTGGCATGCGTCAGGTGTTTTTTTTTTTTTTTTGTCATGTCTCATGTTCCGACTGTTTATTTGTTTTGTGCCTTCTCCAAATGAGCCGTAACCAATAAATGTTTATGACCCTGCGGGCAGCGGAGGCGGGGCCGCAGAATACCGTGACAACGCCCCTGGTTAAGGGCAAGAGAGAAGAGGCGAATGTCCACAATAAAAATCATTTTGAACAACATTAAAATGACACATTGTTTTTGTTGCGGGCCACAAAACACCAACTAGCCATATTTACCAACTTCAGTGCCCGTTCCACTTCCACTTCCAATTCCATTTCCAATATCAACTCCAGAGATCATCGCGCGGATCAAGGCGCCAGTCGCTTATCAATGGATAACGGCGGGTCATCAGGTCGGACGACCCGCTGCGCTCGAAGACAAATAAAGGAGGCAACAACAGCAACATTCACAACGAGCACAAGAGTTGAGTTGAGTTGAGTTGACAAAAGGCCAACTGAATCTTGGAGGAACAGGTAACACCGAATTGCTAATGCTCCACGAGGGCAAAATTTCATTAGACGGACAGACGGACTTAGCTTTTGATAAGGTCTGTTACCGATCAAGAGTATAAATATCGCATACTAATAATCTCCCAGTGCAATCTACAACAATCTACAAGCCGTTGATCAGATCTGTTGCCCATCAAGAATATATATCGGATATATCCTAGTGCAATCTGCAACTCATCCCTTAATAAGTGTATATTTAATCTCTCTCGCTTCCAGTTAATACAAAGGCTTATGCACATTATATTTATATATTTTTGCTTACATACACAATACAACACAATTTTGATACACTTTATCAAATTTCAATATTTAACACTGTCGACATATTACACAGTAATCACTCTGTAAAGAGAACAGCCTTGGGATTAATATAGAATATAATATGCAGTTGAGTCTTACCTCCATAATGTGACATTTTGCCTCTTGGCAGACCCTTATCAAGCGACCTAACCTAGCCTAGACCTAACCTAGCCACGGCGGAGACTGAAAGCAAGAGTTTACAGGGTATATCAAATAAATAAGTTCAGTTAACTTACGTTTAAGAAGAAGCATAACTTGTATCACAGCTGTGGTCGTTTCTTATTGAAAAACGAAAAACACATTTTTTCCAAAATTATTTAAGATGTGTTTCGTGCAAATATATGAGAAGCACTGAAGAATTTCCATTTTAGATTTTCCATGAAAATCTGGCTGAAGGTGAATAAATAAGCTCGGGCTACTGAGTTGGGCTAAAGTTTGCTTGAATATATATGGGCTTAGTTCGGGGGCACAACTATGGGTATTTATGAGACAAGAAAGTCATCTGGAGTTACTTCAACTGCGAGGCTTAAATAAAGGTAATAAATCAGAGACAAAGCCAAACTCGTAGCTGATGAGCCTCAACAAGCATGTTTTCGAAAGTGAGATCAATTAACAGCCTATGTTCAGCTATATGATCTGGGCATTCAATCCAGCCGATAGAGAAACAACTGAGACCTGATCATATACAGCTTGCAATACTTCCGAGATGCGTAGATATATGGAAAAGAATTTGAAGACAAGAGTCGACCTTTGGGCAAAGTTCGAATAGCTTATCAGCTTCTGGACCAGAGTTGCCTAAGGACACAGCCACACTTCAGCCTGATCCTGTTGTATCATTTCGACTTATCTAAGGACCAGGCGGATGCGTTTTTTTTTTGGCCCGCACAAACGACAAGTGCATAAATCATATGCTCATCGAAAACCCAACAAAAAATGTCGCTGACAGTTTTTGTTTATTTTGTTTTTCGTTTCATTTGTGACCTTATCGGATGCACTCGATCAAGCGAGCAATTGCCAACTGGCGCAGGTAAATTAATTCAGCTGCTCTGACGTCACAGAAATCTACCTGATGGCATTTTAATTGTGGCGACTGCGAATGATGATAAAGCGCGCAGCGTTTATCAGAGCAAACAACAAGCAACAGTTCATGAGCTGTGCTGTGATACCGCGTACAAATGCAACATACAGGGTATCATGGGTTAAGAAAAAGAGCTGTAGATCTCTGATCTCTGCAAACTCAAAGACTACTAGACATATTAGCTTTGGTATATGACTATATAGAAAGTCTTTGAACTGCACGCTCTTAAAACCAGCAAGAATAGCTTTTATAACTATTCTGGTGCATATATAAAACTTAAGTCTAAAACTTATTACACAGAAGATTAAATTTCAGCTATATTAAGAGTGCTAATTTTTTAAGCATACTTAAACTGAATGAAAGATAAAGTCTATGAGCTCAAGACTAGGCCAACAAACTGTCAAGGATCCTAAAATATCTGTGCTTAAGGGAATATTGTTACTCTAAACAGGGTATGTACTAGCCTACCATTTTGTCAGCTAGATCAGTTTGAGATGTGATTTTTTTTTGTTTTGCTTTGTTGTATTCAATTTTTTGCAAATAGCTGCAAGGCGTGAAATTTGTACGTTGCGGTGGGTCTCTGGCCCCCGAGTGGGACGGCAGGTGAATAAACTGCGCTGCAACTGTCCGCCCTTTCTTAAAAAACACTTTGTGCATGCTATAATTATGTTGGGCTCGCTATTTGTTTAACTCTGGCTTCCCCAGATCGCACAGTGGGTCCAAGCACAAGCAGGCCAGGCCATTTATTTATTTGAGCTAAACTATGTGCTCTAGCGTATGTCCCAGCACATGGTGAGAGGTCATTGTCAACTGATAGAGAAAATAGTGAAAAAAAAAAAAGAAAAAAACAGTAGCTGATGTGGTTTTTTGTACGGCCTGGTACCACTGTGCCTGAGAACTTGTGGGTACGTATCGTGCGGCCCGCACGCACATTTCACTTATTATTTATGAGGCGTGCGCTGTGGGCGTGGCACGCTTGTTGATCGGCGCTACATGAGCGTACCCCAACCGGCCCCTGCTGCAGCAGCTTGAACGGCACCGTGGACGATGCCGGACAATGCCGGACGGAACGGGACGTTTTCAATCAACGTTCAACCGGCCGCTCGGCCTGCCAGGCGAAGACAAGCGGGGACCACCCTTTTAATGAAGCCCTAATTACAGTGTTTATAACAAAAGGTGATTACCAAAGCAAACCAACAACACCAGACACCAGACACCAAGCAACCGAGCCAAGCAACCAAACCAGGCAGCCAACCAGCCAACATCCACAGGCAGGCAGGCAGGCAGGCAGGAAGGCAGGCAGTCAGGCAGCCAGGCCGGCCCCGGAACGCATCAACAGCTCTTTAGTAGACTGACGTCGCAACCGATAACCCGCCTTGCCCCACTGTGCCCGCCTTGCCCGACGTGCCCGCCGAGCCGCTGTCTCCCAAACATTGAACGTCAGCCGCCTTGGGGCAACCGCCTTGTTTATTTCAGATCGCAGCACGAAAGACGCAGAACACAAACTCAACTCAGGCTTTGTCAGCGGTCAGCGGTATCTGAGGCTCTCAGTCTCCTGCAGACGCGGTGCAGTAACTCGCCCCCCAAATACCCTGTAAGTGTAAAGTGGTTGCAAAGAGCGACACGTTTCGATACATGCATGTGACAACTGAAAGAGAATCGAGAAAGTTGCCAGTTATCGATTATACGCTTACTATCGATAACATCTAAGCTATATATATATACAAAATAATCAAAGACATTAATCGTTTGCATTTAAGCTATCAAAGCCATCTAATCTCTGGATACTTGCCGAACCTTTAACCAGAAGCCTTCGCCATATCCAGTTTCTTCGATTTGATGAGAATCGATTAAGGCAATATTCTAATAAAATCAAGTTTACTTACAGGGTATCTGCCAATCATGCACACCCAACTATCGCCTTATACCCACTGTATGTGTGTGCGTGTTGTCTCCGTCTCTGTCATCGTCACATTATTTATAACTTTTCATGTTTAAATCCGTAATTTTGGCCTCGTTTGCCCCACCCAGCACTCCACCCGTCGCCCCCTTCGCCGCCGTCCGCTGGCTAGGTGCCTCAACCACCCAAGCTTCGACAAGAGGCCTTCCCATGGCGCTCGTGACTTGTAAATATTGATTTTAATCGAAATTGCCCTAAATTGCTTTGCTTTTTCCATGTGTTTCGGGTACGCAATTTAAGACACTTTTGCTGTGAAGAGGCGCTCCATGCGATCACAGCCAACTACGATCGTTCATCATATATGCATATATGTACTTATATAGATCAGTTTTCTCTCTTCCTTTCTTCCCCTTCCCTCTCTCTAACTATCAGTTGCCAAGGTGCTAGAATATTTGTGCATACTTATTTAATTACAGCTCCACTGATCGTGGAGCGGTGTTCCAGTAAGCCCTGACTTCCTACTTATCTATTAATACAGTGGCTATATAAGGCTAGAAAAGAAACGATCAGTGATCAGAGTGATAGCTCCAGATGCCCAAGTGCGAGTCCTAAAACTGTAAGCATTATAGAAAACGAATGAAGGCCAGTTATTGTGAATGTGATCAGACATGCTAGATCCTAAGGCCTGACTGTGACTATTATAGCTTAACGTAAATGCAACAAGAACGTGCGTGATCAGTTGTGATCATCTTCATCAAATAGTAAGTGATCAGTGAAAGTAATCAGATGCAGATTGAATATGTAGCGGGTGATCCGTAGAGCTCAGTTGTGATCAGCATCAGCTCTTGAAAGGCTTACGAAAATCTCCAATTGAGAAAATAGTTAGTGATCACATGCTATAGCGTATCGTGCGACTTTTACTGCTTGATCATCGCTAAACTAGAGAGTGATCGATCAGTAGTGATCGCTATAAGAACTTAACACTTATATAACACAGAACCTAATAGCAAATCCGACAGCGATTCTACAACTACTGGAGGCGTACTCATTGCAGCCTGAGTATGATCGGGATGATCAGCATGATCAGCGGCGCTCTCTCGCTCGCACTTGCTGCCAGTTGGAGTCGGAGTAAAACATCAATTGGATTGTAAAGACCGAAAAGACTTGAAAGGCAGAGCCGACCGATGCCGGCAACGCCGTCCGAGCAACTTATCATGTCCAAATTAAGCTCAATACCAAATAAACAAGTCGTACGACTGCGTATTTTTTTTTTTTATTATTTGTTTTATCCTTTTCTGGCCGCCGGGAGTTCAGCAATGACTGTGTGTTGGTTTTTCTCTCTTCTCGTGTGAGTTGTTTTTTTTTTTCTTTATTTTTTTGCTGTTGTTGCTTTGTTTTTTTCGAATGCCCCGGTGCCTCGATAATGCCAACTCTATTTGCATTGGGCGCGGCGAGCACCGAGTCTTGCTGAGCTGCAGTTGGAGGCGAAGCGGTCCCAGCTTTGCGTTCGCCTTTGTTTGAATTAATCGAAGTGATATTTTGCTTGTCCCGAAATAATTTATCCTATGCAGGGTCGACTGCACCGATATCTGCCTGCAGCTGCAGGCTGGACCTGAATTGGTTTTTTTTTTTTTTTTTTTTTTTGCTGGCGGAGGATCGCGTCGAAAGCCGCGCAGAAATATAAATATTCTCCATATGGGCCCCATTGATACATTTTGACATGAGTTGTGGCCTAAGCGCGCGTTAATAACCGCAATTTATGCGATTTTGAAGACGGCGGCGCCAAAAACAAATCAAATGAAAACAAAAAATAATCATAATAAAAGCAAACAATGCACAAATATGATAAATATATGCATACAATGCATATATCTGGCGGGTGCCGAAGTTTTAATACCCTGGCAATGAACGGAAATCAATTAAATTCCATTTGACTTGCTTTTATTGTTCGACTGCCTCATAAGCAATCAATAGGCAAGTTTTTGAATTTACGAAACTTTACAACACTTTTTTGGCAATATTTTGATAGGCAAGGCGCTGCACTCGCCTTTGCCTTTGCCTTTGACTTGGCTGGCTGGCATATTCAAGGGCTGCGCTTTGATAATATGAACTAGAGTTCAGTTGTAATAGATTATTTAAATTAGCTCAAGTGTTGAAAAGTTGCACAACTTTTTACAAAGTTGTTTCTCGTGTAAAGTTTTCGAATTCAGTTACATATTTTTTTTTTGTCAATATTTTGATAGGCAATACGCTGCAGTCGGGTGTTTGTTGTTTTTGAATTTGTTGCTTTCGAGTTGACAGTCTCTTGTTGTTGCAGTGCTCAATTTCAATTTCATGGTCATTTGTGCCACAGCATTGCATGCAGCTGTCTGTCTGTCGCGAGTTCGTTGCCTAAGTCTTTCGTTTCATACATTGCGTGCCGGTTGCGTGCGTGTCCGCGGCAAGGTGCGAGCGGGACACGGCTCGGGCTTGGGCAGCCGTACAAACTAAAACGACGGCAACCTTATGCACATTTAACAAGATTCGCATAAAATTACAAAACTGACATAATTCAAGATAGCAGCCTGCGCAGCTCTCACAAAATTATCTCATTCCGAACTCCAGTTGGAGCTGGACTTGCGCTTCGAGTTGGAGTTGGAGTTGGAGTTGGAGCATGTAGTCGTGGCCGTCTCCTAAATGGCCTGCTAATGGCCTAAAGTGTACTTGCCGATAATATTTAGCACATACGCATCACTTAGTTCTCAGCAGTTTGTCTTCGCTTGGACCAACTATCGAGCAGGCAGCATGCTTGGACTCAGCTCTGGCTGTTCTGCCATTTCTCTGTCAGTTTGGGCGCTTGCTTGAGCCATAAAATCGTTGACATTACGACTGTTGGCAGATGAAATCAATTTACATGCATTCAATTACAAATTGTTAGCCATTTGTAGACAAAAAAAAAGAAAGAGAAAGAAAACACATGTACACTAAAATAAATAGGAAAAACTTGGGCTTCCGACTGCGAGATATTCTGTTTTCAGTTCAAAGAACTATTTTCGATATCAAAACGTGCAAAAATATTTCAGCTTGAATCGTGGCAGATCGACTGTAAGTCTTATAGATGGAATACTTTTTGCCTATTCTAGTATTAAGATGAAATATGGGATATACTTCTTTGTTACCTTTATGTACATAAATCTTACATATACGATGGGATATATTTATCTTATCTATATATATCTATGTCCCGATATATTAAGCTTATCTACGGATACTTGAACTGCTATAAACTATATAAGTATATTTATAGAGAGAGCAATATTCGAATGAATGTGTGGACACTTGATCTGATATGGGCCATGTACGTATTTCGTGAGAGTTCGAAGGAAGGAACGGAGACTTGATATGCAATGGGCTACATACAAAATAAATATAGAGAAGAAGTCGAATGGACGGAAGCTTGATCTGCTATAAGCTATATGTGTGTATATATAGAAAAGAGCTCCAGCGAATGGACGTCAAGATGTGGCAACGGCACATCATACCCGGCCAAGCCGTTGGAACGCCAAGTTTCCACTGGATGGAAAGGAAGGAAAAAAACTTGGCCAATCAGTTTATAAAGTTTATGAGGCAACTGCCAACTGCCAAGTGCCAACTGCTTGTAACGGCGCGTTTTTATGAGCCAATAGAGCATCCCCCATAAACCCGCCCCCCCTTTCACTCCTACTCCTTCCCCTTCCCACCCTCTGCTAATCATACCAAGAGGCATATCAATGGGCTGATCGCTGCGACAAGTTTTGTGGCGCTGTTAAACGTTTGCATGATTTTGATTTTGATTTTAACGATACGCGTCGGAGCTTGGACTTGGGCTTAGAGATCGGACATGGAACTGGACTGGACTGGACAGGTCTGGTCTGGAACGGAGTGGAGTGGAGCCGAGTGGAGTGGAGGGCAGCGCAGTCTGGCAGACTTGCAGCACGTCCTAATTAGCGCCCCGACTGTGGTGGCCATCAAAATAAACACTTTTAGAATACGAGCGGAGACATGTTTTTATAGCCATAAATTCGTTGAGTTTATGTTGGGAAATCTCAGATCTGGCATTGAGATTATGGCTTAGCATTCCTCTCTGCCTCTCTCTCTCTCTCTCTCTCTTCCATTCAATCAGTCGCTCATTTTGATGGATATTCAATGGAGTCTCTAATTGAATAAACAAATACTTGCTTCATCTTTTTTATACCCATTGAAAAGGATAGGAGCTGAGTCTTTCCGGCTGTCTACAAAGTCTACAGATTTTAAATATGTACGAGCTTGCAATTTCTTTTCGATATTTCCTTCTATTTTCTATTTTCTTAGTATCGATAAATATCGATTTTGTATCATGAGTTGTTATTCTGAAATCGCACATTGTCAACGTTAGGTCCATCTCTTTGAAGACCTACCCCATTCCTCCGAAATTTGAAAAGAAACTCATTTTTGTCAGATAGAGCCCTGCGCCTTGAGCCACACATTCTTGTATGTCTACCACATTTAAAAGATTGATTTAAAAATGGACGACAAATAGCGAAGCGAATTGAGAACGCATTTGCCATGGTGTGGGGCAGGGGGTTAGAAGAAGTACGCCAGCCACCAGGGTATCTGCTAGTCGAGCACTCGTGTTTGTCTTTTTTTTTAAGGCTCCGTTTAATCAGCGAGGATAACACCCAAAGTGCTCCACGGTCTGGCCATAATAGCATATTCATGTTTATGGCCAACTTCCAGCTTATCGGCAAGCGCCCTGCTGCAACGACAATCAGTCTCTGCCCCCCCCCCCCCCCCTCTCCCCCTTCGCCTCACGCTGTCCCTCTCCTCGGGCAAGGGGCGCCTTAACAAGCAGCTAATGGCTAATGGCTCATCCATGCCATGTCAGACGATCCGTATGCGATGCTGGCTAAGTTATCACACGATCCATCCCAAAATGGTTCCATCGGGAGAGCCTCGCAGAATTGCATTAATAAGCCACAGCTTGGCGGAGGCTGTCGTCGGATTTGCTGCCATAATTTAAATGCGGGACAAGATAAGCGTCAGACAGAATGCGTTGCATGGGAGGACACGATTCGTTCTTTTTGGGTTTTCTCATCAGCCCTGCCAACTGCAAGCCATATTAAAGCGTGGATATCCTATAAAAGCTATTAAAACTGTTCATTTAATTAGTCAAGTGCTTGTCGCAAAACGCAAGCCAGATTATATATTTATAGACTTTTGTCTATTCAAAACGAGTGAGAAGATTGAACAAACTCGCAAAAGTAGACTTTTTTCCGATGCGCCTTTAAAGGGTTTTATATAACACAATCAGCCAAAGGTAGTATACATCAATATATGTTTTATATATTTGGAGAATCTCAGAATTAATCGCACAATTCCTTTTTATGATACATCAGCCGATTCGAAAGCACATTTCAGGATCTATGTGATATTTCCCTTTTACCAACATTAAACCCCATCAGAGCGAGAAAAGGGCGTCTAAAGTTGTGCGAAATTAAAGTCTAGCGACGGGCAAAGTCGGGTAATGCCAGCCAGTATATATATATCTAGAGAGCATAGAGAAGAATCCCTGAGCACTGATTACAGGCCGATGACATGCACAACGCCAAGTGGTTGCAATTGTTGTCATCTGGGATGAAGGCAAATTAATCAAATGGTGCAACCAGAGCAGCAAGAGAGGTGGGGCGAGCGAGTGGGGGAGAGCGGGAATGAGGATGGGGGAAAAGTGGAACTGATGCTGGTACAAAGGCCTAATGGCCATAATGAATGGATAATGGCCAAGGAGCTGCATTAACTACATGACAGCAAAGGCGAAGGTAGAGAAGCGCGTTGATATTTGCACAGGGCCAAACAATATATAAATTAAGCTAACCGCATGGGACGCCAACTGGAGTCTGGCACCTGGCTCTGAAGCTGCAGCCCGATCACCAGCAGCAGGCCGAGCAGTCCGAGCAACAGCAACAGTTGTTGCTGCTGTGGCATATACTTAATTTCAAGTTGTCCGCGGAAAAACTTAAGCATATTTAACCGCATGTCGCTGAATTCTAGTGTGTGTGCGTGTGTGTGTGTGTGTGTGTGTGTACATCACAGGTGGGGGGGCTCAGGTGCTGCAACTGCGGTGGTTCTCAGTCGCTGTCGCCCGACTCTGAATCCGAATCCGATTCCGGCGCAATTCTCCAGCCTGGAAACTGGCGCTGATTTGAATGTCTGGACATGAAGCTGGCGCTGTCCAAAAAGATGCTGCGACTGTGTTTGTTGTTGTTGTTGTTGTTGTTGTTGCTGTTGCATGCAGCTTGTGGCCGGTTGTGTGCCCCACGCTCACGCATATTCCGCATATGCAGACAACGCGCGACGGGATGCAGGCGCCACTTGCCCAGGCGGCAGACAGGTAAATGTTAATGCCAATGCCCTCTGCCGCTGCCTCAGTCGCTGTCTCTGTCGCCGTCGCTGGCAGCGAGTGCTTGCAACCGGCTGACCTTTGCACATGCCACAAGCAGCGGCTCGGACAAGCAGGAGGTCAGATGTCGCCAGTTGGCCAGTTGGCCCAAAAGCGCCATGCCCCGTGTCGCTGCCCCTGCCCCTGCCCCTGACACTGCCTCTGCCTCTGCCTCTGCCCCTGCCCCTGGTCCTGGCCCTGCTCTCGCTGCAATCGTCGTCTTCATCTTTGGGCTGCTGTCAGCGTTGCCATCATATCAAATGACAAACTCGACTGCACAATGAAACGCAATGCGTGCTGGCAGCTCTGCAGATTATCAGAGCTCGGCCAGCTCAATTGGAAAATGATCGATGATCGGTACGAGTGTGTGCCTGTGTGTGTGTGTGTGTGTGTGTGTGTGTGTGTGTGTGTGTGCGTGAGCTATATGTTGTGCCCGGCTTTGAAATGGGTTCGCTTCCAACTGACATTGCAACAACTGGAACAACGCGCCGCTTCCCGCTTGCCTTCCCATCTCCTCCTCATCTGGCATCTTGCGATATTGTCAATAACTCGGGTTTTAGGTGGCATTTCGGGCACTGCCCTAATTAAGGTTCGCTTCTGTTTTGGGTATTTATTTATTTATTTTTCGTATTTCTCTCAGTCTCAGCATCTGATTCCAGAGAACTCTTGAGTGTCCCCATTGGAGATTAAAATATGGCATTACAAGTGCCACAAATAGCTGCTCTAGTCGGGCGTGTCGGACTAGACGATACACTGTAGATACCTGCCGATTCGCTCATACTTTTTCCTTCTTCCCATTCTACCGAATGTTCTTGAATACCTTTGCACTTTATTGTCGGATCTTTATGAAATTTTCAGCGCCAAACTCTAACTTTAAAATAAGCTTCTTTTACAGTGGAAGGGTATCACAGAAAGGGATTATTTTATATATGTCTACACGTCATGAGAACCTGTACAACAAGTTTGCTCTAGGAATTCTCAGGTTATGCTAAAAAAATAATCGATGTTAATCGATTTTGCGTAAGTTATCGAACTACAAAATGATAGATTGTTGTCCTAAGCCTAATCACGGATGATTTCTGGGTTCGCAGTAGCTTCCTTCTGCTGTTTTACACATATGCTGAATACTCTTTCTACACATCATCCATGAGTTTGAATTAGAACAAAATAATGTATGAAATTGATCCCGCTCTTCGATTTTTCACGTAGAATATATATTCCTGTAACTTCCCTTATTATAATTATTTAGGCAAAAAAAAATATACGAAACATTTTTGTTTTGACTGGAAGCGCAAGTGTGGCATGGCTTAAGAGTCGACATATTATGCCACAAAATGTTGCACTGTGGCAAAAACTGGAAATAGCTGCGACTTAGAAGCTCTTGTATTCGTGTGGCACATGTTGCAGCCACATACAGCGCTACAGCTGGCGACTCTGCGCCGACGCGAAGAACACAAATGAACATGTCGACGTCCAAGTGTCACCACAAAGATGTAGCCAAGTAGTTGTTGGGACACACAAAAACGGTCGAGAGGCACAAAGGTAAACGCTGGAAAAGGTGGAAAAAGAAGGACGCGGGGGCGACGTGTTGTATCCATGTAGCAGCTGCAGCTGCCGGTGTCCAGCAATGAGTAGGGCATCGTCATCGGCATCGGCATCGGCATCGGCAATGCCGGAGCAGGAGCAGGGTATGTTGTGAGCTGGCAGCGATTGCAATCTCTCGCTCGCTGCAGTTGTCGCAGCGAACTTAATTTTCCGCCATTTGCTCATTTGGCCTGGCCAAGAACCATAAAGCGTATGTGGCAATGCCATAGGCGGGAGCCAGGAGCTCATCATGGCAGATCTCATGCCGCTGATAAGGGCGAGCCGCCGCGAATGAAGTCGTCGCGTCAACGGGCCAGAATAACACACACAAACATACACAATTTAATTAAACGAGACGACTACCGTGCAGCCTCCACTTAACGGATCGCCACATGCCGTGCTCCTCGAAACCCCCCGCCCCTGATCCCGAGCAGTTCGATCGGTTCTGCGTGACTCGCATAAATCGCTGGCCATCGATTTGGTTTATCTTATCGATAAAAAAAAAGAGAGAGAGAGAATATAAACTAAGCCAGAACCGAGCCGACCTTGAGACCGACGGCTAATGAAGATCTTGGCGTCTTATTGGAATAGTTTGGCCCGTTTGCATAATTCATTTTCAATTTATATGCCCATTAAAGCCGATAATGGACGCAATTAAGTTCGTGTCCCTTTGATAATTTTCCACATTTACGCGGCCATTAAAGTGATTCCCAGCGCATTTTTCTCGCACATTATCAGCTCCTCATTTCCATAGTCGATGACATGCAACGACAACGACCAGAGATCCCCAGGTTCCATCTACCCATTTACTCTGCCTCGCCCTCTATCCCCCTGTCCCTCTCTCTCTCTCTCTCTCTCTGCAACTAGTTTCTACGCTTAAGTCCAGAGCTCTCCATTCCATTCGCATTCGCTTATCGCCTATGTAGTCAGACGAAGAAAAATGATAGACGCATGTGGTAAAAAAAAAAAAATATATAATACAACATCTTAGTCTAGTCTTGAACTTATGGGCGGTGGCTATTAGGGTGCCGCACGGCATCGGGTCCGTGCCCGTGCCCCGAGGGCTGAGGTGTTAATTAGCTTTATCTTAATGCAGGTTCCGGCACACAGTTCAAACTGAATTATACATAATAATTTGTTTGCCACTCTCTAAAGTGGAACTTAATGTTGCCCGACTGTGCATAAAAAGCCAGATATGACAGCCATCTCTTCCTCTCTTTCGCTCCCCCTCTCTCACATCGTGTGCTGCCCTCTGACCCCAAGACGCCACCCACTGGCCAGGTCCATGCCAGAGCCACGTTGGCAGCTCGTGTTAAGCGACCATTAATCACATTAGCTATGCATTAATACGGTACTGCTAAAGGTAAAATAATGTATAGATATAGGACTTATTGCGGAGGATGTTGCTTTTCCTAATGGCAGAAAACTGGACAGAATGGTACGTCGACCCTCAAGATGTACAATTGTTAAAATAGCCCATTTTAAAATTAAGACTCTGCTATGCTTTTTCAAATTCAGCACTTATTTAAATTTATATTAAAAAATCTTGCTTTGAGACTATGTTGTATTATTAACATATGTATGTTAAGTCTCTGTAAAGTTGGGCATAGTGAACAAACTTTGGATGACTATAGATACTGTCATATCTAGTATTTCAGTTTTAATAACATCTGTATTTGATTTGGCATATCTTTGATTTATAAATAATATTCATATTCATTCATTCATATTAACAGTTCAGCTTCTTTTTTTTTTTATAAATGTTAAATATGTATACGAATGATGAGAAATGCTTAGAATGTTTTATTTATAATTAAGGGATGCTTATAGAATTTTTAAAATAAATCACATCTATAAGAACCCTGAATTTTGAATGTACATAGAATGTACACAGTGGTCGCTCGATAAAAAGAACCAATTGCTAAAATATTATTTTGCTAATTCTATTCTAAAATGTACTCTTGAATCTTGAAGTCAATTAAATGTATAACATATAGACATACTTAAAAATAATTTAAGAACTGAACAATTTTTGATCAATTCTAATTTCTAGCTGTTTTTCCCTTTAAGACTTTACTAAGTTTTGTAAGAAAACAGCACCACAGTTCTCATATTATGTCTATTTAACAATTATTTCGTGTATTTACGCTCTGAGCAATGCCTGCAGACATATTAACATAAATCACACATGTTAATGGCCACTGTAGGGCCTCTGTTGCTGCTACATATTTATTTAACTGCGAATGCCAGTCAACAACAGCAGCAACAACAAGAACAACAGCCCATGCTCAACCACCACCCACAAGGCAACCCCGAGTAGGCACACACATAAAACACTGCTGAGCGCAAAGCCTTTGCCTGTGTGTATTGGTGTTTATCTGTGTGAGCGCCGCATGCCGGCTGCAACGGTGTGCGTGTGTGTGGTTGAGCGCATGAGGGGCGGAGCCAAGCGACAACGGCAACAGAAGCAAATAAAAACGTGCAGCGACAGCACACGGCTAAAACGATAGACTAGACGGGGTTGCATTTAAGGGGTGGATGGGTGTGTGTGTCGTTTCAATGAGTGAAAGTAAAATTGCAATAACAATAGACTAGCACTCTCTCGGCAGACTCTCACGCTTCTCTCGCTCTCGCGCAATGTGGTCGCCATTATAGCGCTTTATTAAACAAACAAACAAACAATCAAAAGAGCATAAACAAACACAAGAAACCAACACAAAAGCGAACGCACACACGCACACGCATATACGCGCAAGAGTTGCTGAGCACGCTCAGCCATTATGCACGCTCTCACCACCACTGCCGGTTCGGCAGAGAGAGCGAGAGAGAGAGAGCGAGCAAGAGAGGGAGAGCTCACTAACTGGGCAGCACACAATTGAATGCCATGGATAGTGCTGACTCGCTCACACTCGCTGCTGCTGCCGGCAACTCATTGGGGAGTTGCGAGATGGAGACTGGGCAGCGCTGCGACTGCGGCTGCGACTGTGGCTGCGGCTGTGGCTGGCAAAGATACTTTTCTTGCGGCGTGCACGCCATACGAAATCAGTCAATGTCTTGGAGTTGATGGCGCGAGTACACGCGACACGAGTTGACTGCGACTGTGACTGTGACTGCGACTGCGACGCGTGCGAACTCAACGCAAAGCTGTGACTTCACGTGAAATCGTAACAGTAACAGTAACAGTAACCGAAAGCCGCCGCCGTCGTTCGCAACGTGAAAAAAAATAAATAAATTAAATTGTATTAAAGTACATATTAAGAAACAAATATCGAAACAATTGCATTTTGTTTTATAATTTTTTTTATGGTGTGCCTGAGAAAACAAAACATAAGATAAGCAACACGAAGAAGCAGAAAAGTGTATCTAAAATATGCAAAAACTGTTCCGTGCCACATAAAGCAAAGATATATTTGAATAACAGCTACCAACAAAAAGTAATCGATAAAAAAAAAGAAGAAGAGTAGAGGGAAAAGAAACCGTCACGACGTCGTCGCCCGGGTCAATAATGCTGGTGCCGTCGGACATGATCGCGGCACAGTCCAAGATGGTCTATCAAATGAACAAATATTGTGCGGATCGTGTGCAGGTGCGCAAGGCGCAGATCCACAAACAGATCCAGGAGGTCTGTCGCATCGTGCAGGATGTGCTCAAGGAGGTCGAGGTGCAGGAGCCCCGCTTCATATCCTCCCTAAACGACTACAACGGGCGCTTCGAGGGCCTGGAAGTGATCTCACCCACAGAGTTCGAAATCATCATCTACCTCAACCAGATGGGCGTCCTCAACTTTGTGGACGACGGCACCCTGCCCGGCTGTGCGGTGCTCAAGCTGAGCGACGGACGCAAGCGTTCCATGTCCCTCTGGGTGGAGTTCATCACCGCCTCGGGCTATCTGTCCGCGCGCAAGATTCGCTCCAGATTCCAGACGCTGGTGGCCCAGGCCTGCGACAAGTGCGCCTACCGTGACATCGTCAAGATGATCGCCGATACCACCGAGGTGAAGCTGCGGATCAGGGAGCGCATCATTGTGCAAATCACGCCCGCCTTCAAGTGCGCCGGCCTCTGGCCACGCTCGGCCTCGCACTGGCCGCTGCCCGGCATACCCTGGCCGCATCCCAATATTGTTGCAGAGGTTAAGACTGAGGGCTTCGATATGCTTTCCAAGGAGTGCATCGCGCTCCAGGGCAAGAACTCCGCCATGGAGGGCGATGCCTGGGTGCTCAGCTTTACAGACGCCGAGAATCGTCTGTTGCAAGGTGAGTTCTTCCCGGTTACCTCACGTTGCCGTCGGCAAAAAAGAATCCCAACTAATACTCCCATATATCGAATAAGCACTTCATAATAATGCTGTTATAATTTCAAGTTGTCTTAGAAAGTATTTCAAATACTCCAAAGTTCTTTCAACTAATTAATTTACTTCTATGTAGATTCTGTATTTTTCAAAAATTCCCTTAGCAAAAATATTATCATATCTTTGTATAGCATAGAGAGACTAGAAGTATCATTGATCATAATAAAATTCCTTGGGCATCCAATTTGGAAAGATTTTCTTTGCTTTTGATTTTCGATTCGCAAAAATACTTTCAATTATTATGTTTTTCGACTATTTCCAATAATTAGTAATCCTAACTGGGAAATAATTATGAAGTATATTTCTTCGATTCTCAAATACTTTTGTTTAACTCCATTTCAATCTAAACTTCTCTATTTTTTTGAAATGTCAAAGAATCTCTTGTTTCTTCGCTTATAGTTCTCTCAAATCTTCAAGAATGGATTTTATTCTGTTTGTAAAATGTACCTTTACCTATTTCTACCCATTGCTAAAGTACACAACCAATTTGTGCGTATCTCTCGTATACCTACCTGCGTACCCCCAAAATAATAATGAAAAAAAGCCCCAATACCAAGTTTTTGATTAAACCAAATAGCTCTTTAAGACCAAGCCACAAAAATAAATGTTATCCGGTTGTAAATTAATTTAGAAATCGGTACTACAAATTCGGGCACCTCGTACTGCTCAGCCCTCTACCTTCTCCCCGCTATACCCCCTCTCCCACGCCAGTCACAGTCGAGAAGTCAGCTCCCTGTCAACGGTGCGGCTAACGTTTTTACAATCAGTGACACACTTAAATTTAATTGATTTATTTTCAACAAATCAGCGACTGTAGTTTGATATAATTGCTTGTAAATTAAGCATTCGGTCTGGCAGCACGACACACAATCAGGTGGCAATGATCGTACTCAAAAGATATGTATATGTGCCACTGGGCGACGTGAATCTTAGCTGCTTGTTTCCCAGATCCATTCGATAAGCTCCATGCTAGTCAAACACCTAAATTGACTCTCACGTTATGTTTGATCCCAAGTCCAAGGAGTAAATTGCAACTGATCGCAACGACATGATCGATAAGTGATCAAATGAAAGTATCTCATTGATCAGTTGGCAATTTGAATAGTCAATTTAATAATTGTTTGAATGGTGTTTTGAATTGCTGATCGAGCTCTTGGGCAAAGAGCACTCGCTGAATGCAACTGATCGCAACTACACGATCGATAAGTCATCGACTAAGAAATCTCTCATTCATCAACTCACTATTTGTATATTTTATTTTTATTCAATGATCACAGATCAGTTAGCTGATCAGCAAACGATCGCAATGCCCTGATTTAGTTTTGATTTAGCTTGATAACTAGCGCATGATCGCAAATCCAATTGAGATCTTTTAAAGAGATTTATAGATCAGCTTGCACTGTTAAAATTTCTCGGGATATGTTATTAAGGCGCGATCATTCTTTAGTTATTGATCAGCGAATACTTTAAATAATGCTTGGAAACAAGCCCATGATGGTAAGGACCTGATCAAATTGTGATCAAAGATCAGTTGATAGTCGGGAACAAGTGATCAAAGTATAGATTATATTAAAGTGGATTTTACAGAATAATTTCTTGGCTACGATCAACATTCGAACAGATTCTTTGACACTGTTAACAGGTATCTATGGATGGCTAATCGCAAGTGTCTGCATATGAATATGTCGATTTGTCTATAGATCAGTTTAAACGTTGAATATTTCTAACGATCACTGATCACCTGAGCTGTCAATCAAACTCAATTAAGTCGAGTTGCTTAAGCAGCCAATCGACGCAGCTCGCAGAGCAAAACGCATCCGTTTATCGGAGCGTAAGAGATAAGAACTAAGATATGGCCCCTGTGAGCGCCAACGATCATAAATCTGACTGAAACTAATCGAATGGACAAAGCTGGCCTATTGGATAGCCCATTCGGCCGCCTTTGGGCCGATGTCTCCACGCGCACAAATCCGCTGATCTGAGTCAGATAAACGCAGTCGCAGTCGGAGTCACAGTCGGAGACGCAGTCGCTATCACTGCTATAAGGCGGCGCAGCGGTTAGTTGGTTAGTCAATAAACTGGTTTTGTAGATATCAACATTGGCAATGCATGAGCCATAAATAAATTTCTAAACGATTTTATAAATATTTTAAATCTCGGCGATTAGATAAAGTCAGCAAATAAATAAAACAACGGCGCGCCGGCCGCAAGAAGCTACCCAAAACAAAAACTAAAACAAAAACCCAAAAAGCCACCAGAGACGACAAAGCGAATACCAAAGACAAGAAAATATAAAATAAATAAAAATCAATATTTAACTATTTAACCAAAGACCCCAAATCGAAATCAAATCTCAAGCCCTGCTCACATTCATTTCGTGCGCCTTGTTGTCAGCTCCGTCTTTCGGGCCAAACTCTCTCAATCTTCGATCTTCGATCTTAGTGGAACGTCTTGACATTTAATTTAATGAGCTGGCGCATAATAATTTAGCTGCGATCGTGCTTTGACCAACTGTCAGTGTGACTGTATCTATTACAATGTCGTTATTGCTATCGTCTATCGATTACGCTGCTGTCACGCTTATCAGATTTCTATTGTCACATTCGATGAGTCTTTCTTATATGCATGTTGGCTATATTCTAGAAATTCTATAGCATATTAATGAGGCGGTGTTTCATTGTGCATACATCTATCAATTTATCGTTATCGTTGATCGCTTACTCTTATCGGATATGTAATCATCATTGGGATGTTCTTAAGATTGGTTCGAATACGATCGTGCTCAATTATGAAGCGACTGTGCTTTGATCGTATCCATACAGAAACTGACAACTTTAGCATACAAGTACGAAGCGCATAAGAGAAATTTAACATGATCGATATACGATAACTATATAAGTATAGCTTATATATCGTATAAAGAGGGCATTCACATAATTAATATGCAACAACGATATACATATATCGTATATATCGAATAAATAGAACATTTATATAATCGATATACAATAACGATATATATTGTTTATCGATTATGTAAATGACCTCTTCTTTGCATCGTACTTCCCTATTTGTGCATTCCATAAGCTTCTTTTTCTGTTGTTTGTTCTTATTTCGAACTTCTTAAAACATTTAACAAATAATTTGCCAATCGGAAATCGTCTATCGCTTATTGTGATCTAATATGTTCCCCTACTTTCGATAAGTATATCGTTTTCTATCCTTTACATATTTTTATATTTTCAAAACAATATGCGCGGCACTTTTATGTACAGTTCTATCGTTATCGATATCATTTATGATTTTATTTGTTGTTGTTTCTATTTTTAAATTAGTAGATTCCAATTTCATAGGTAAACCCTAAACCCTTATCTTATCCGAATTTTGTCGAGTCCAAAAAGTAGAATTTCTAAGAGTAATTTAGGAGAGCTTCTCTTAAATTCTCAGTTGAAGTATAAGTCGGAGTAGTAACTTAGACCCAGTCCCATTTGCGATTCATTTAATAGAACCCTATTCCGAAACTACAAGTATTCCAATCTGACTAACATGCATGTTTATTGGGTATAGCGTTACCTATATAGCCCATAATAAGTGCACATATCAATGTACTCAATACATGATTATCGGGCACAGTCTGAGATTAGCCGTGCTGACACTCGAAGACTATGATTTATGTGCTGCCTGACGTCTGTGGCGTGGGTTGATCAATCAAACCGGTTCACAATATGTTTCGAGGCCTAAATTTGGCACCTTGAAACTGATTGTTAGGGGGTTATTTCGATCAATTATCAACAAATTAAAGACAACTTTTTTAAGAAATCAATTAGTCAGCGGCACAATTATTGCACGTACTTGAAGAAGTCTCAGTTATCAAATTTGATAAATATTTTCTACATTTCAAAACATTTCGGACACTTGAGTGCCATTCAAATGAGTAATTGGGCATAAACATGCTTGATCAGAAGTAATCTACTAAATGGGTATAATGCCAGAGCTTGAGAAACAACATCCTGTCTGTCAAAGTTCATGTTAACAGACTTGTTTTCGAGCTCTTGTCAAGCAAATGTTTAAGTTGTTGCATGTATGGCAACGCTATGTCAAGTAGCTGGCAACCCGAAGGCGTTGGATTGATAACTAGCAAGCAAAAGCTAGCATTAGAGCTGAAACTAACAGTCAAATGTTAAACTGCTTGTCAGTCTTTATGTTCGAATATGACTACATGCTAAAGTGGCTGTTAATTTTAACAGGTGCTTGGTAAGCTTGGATATTGATGATAATTTGATAGCTTCCGGCTATCTAAGATCTAAAGTTATTTATAACTTTACGGCACATGATTTAACTAAAAGTTAACTTAGCAACTAATATTATTAATTATCTAACATTTATTCTATATTATCATATCAATTGTTGCAGGTGCAAGTCGCCGTCGTTGCCTTAGCATATTGAAGACACTGCGCGATCGCCATTTGGACCTGCCGGGCAATCCCGTAACATCGTACCATCTGAAAACGTTGCTGCTCTACGAATGCGAGAAGCACCCGAGGGAGATGGAGTGGGAGGAGAACTGCATTGCGGATCGGATCAATGGCATATTCCTGCAGTTGATCTCGTGCCTGCAGTGCCGTCGCTGTCCGCACTACTTCCTGCCCAATATGGATCTCTTCAAGGGCAAGTCTCCCGGTGCTCTAGAGAATGCCGCCAAGCAGGTCTGGCGCCTGACGCGCATCATGCTGACCAATGTGCGTTGCCTGGAGGAGTTGTAGGGATCCCAACAAATTTGTGAGATGGTTTTACACAACGATTCTCTCTCTATCTCTCTCTCTCTCCTTTTCTCTTTTATTTTTTTATTTTCTTTATGATTTTGTCATTTTTATTTTTTTTTATTTTTTTCGTTCTTTGTTTGTTTGTCGGGGAAACGAGCTAGAAACAAAAGCCGCACAATGTGGCCCAATACAATTAGTTGGTAGTTGTCGTAGTTCGGGGGCTAGCGAACTAGGGGGTATACGCTCAGAGAGGTACATAATTCGGAAATTTTAACCCAAATACTATTTGATATTTTTATAGATAGTAAGTTGTTTAGTTTTTAGGTGCTTTCGAAAAGTATACGCCGCTTACAGAGTTTCCTATATTTAATTGAACCACACACACATATATATATATATATATACATATATATAATACCTAAATAGATCTTATCGTATAATACAAATAACAGCAGCAAAAATACGCACAAACCTAAGTACTTATATCAACTGAACTACACTTAAATATATCTAGATATATATGAATATTTTTTTTTTCGCAAATAATTTTGCCAAGCGGCAAATAAAATTAGCTAAAGTACTTAGCTTAAGCTGAGCAACAATTAAATAGCGCTGCAAATTATGTAAAATGAAGACGTAGAAGACGAAGTGAAAACATATATTTTTTTTTTCTGTTTAAATTATTTATTTGTGTTTTTTGCTTTTCTTGTGAGTTTAGTCAATAAAAAATTAAGTTTTTTTCAACAAACTGCAATTGAGTTTTAATTGTTGGTTGAGTTAAAACAAATGTTATTCACTTTTTTTCAGCTAAATGATTTTTTAATGCTTTAATTCGATCATTTACTAGCGGATACAGCTGCTTTACATAGTCAACTAACAGTGTAGGTTAACAGAAGTGCCTGTTAACAAAACAAACATGTTGTCTATTACTGTTATGAGTCCATAACAGAGCAGAAAAATTTAAATAACAGCAGCTATGCCTAACATACATATGTTGCAGGCAACAGTTAATTAACATAACATGCAGTGCTTAACATAATGTATGTTACATATCGTAATAACTTGTCTGTTAATCTAACAGCTGATTAGCACAGCTCACAGCTGGCAATAACTGTGAGCTGTTTTTGGACAGCTGTCGAATCGAGTTAATAAGAAGCCCGGCATAAATATTTATAAATGTTGCCAGACAAGCTCTGTGAATGTCCATCACAATTAGCACTAACAGCTGCTCTACTTAACATACAAATGCTAATAACAACGCACTTAACAGCTGCTTAACATTAGGTACACAGAAAACAGAGCTCGGCGAAGACAACGTGCTTTAATCCATGTAATAGCCATAATATATACATAATATATTAGAAGCTGCTCTCATAACTATAACATGCCCAGTTAACATTGCCATTTGAATAATAATCGAGCTCCGGGTGGCTCCGGGGCGCTACTTTGAAGTGCTGCGTTTGGCGACGTGCGCCAATTTCGGCAATCGATATAAATTTCAGGTCGATATTGCAAATGAAAAGAAACAAACAAAAAATATTGCTAGGCTTTCAATTGTCGAACATGTCTGCGGCTGACAGCCAGAGGTTCGTTTGTCAACACGTTGCGCATTTTAATGGCGCATTAAAGAAATTTTCGCAGACCGAAGCAAACAAATGCCCAATAAACCTTAAATCAATTGTCGCAAAATGATCGCCAACATGGCCATAATATGCAATATTGTATATACAGAGGCGGCGGCCCACTTTGAGCCCGGCCCAAACAGCCATCCGAGTGGACAATTGGACTGAGACTGACGGCGACTGACAGCGCATACAGCATTTGGATCACGTGTGAGTTTCGTTCTCAGGCAACAGACATAACAGTCAAATTAAATTGAATGCCATTCATAAATTAAATTACTTAACTTCTCCAACGTTGATTCTCTTCATGCCTTTGGTTCCCTGTACTTATAAAGTGGGTGGCATACATATTTAACCTGCAGTTAAATGCATCTCTATATGAAGTTCCATTTGACAATATTCAAAACTATGCAAAAATCAACAGATATTGCTCTAATTTTTTGTATACGTTCAGTTCTTCACGTCTACTCGTTAAGTTCTTAATTTCAGGTTGATCGGATAATAATTAATACTTAGGAATAGTTAAGTTTTTCATGTAAACTCTTTAACAGTCCAATTTCATGGCGATCGGCGGATGAAGACACGAATTGCTCAGGAATTGTTTCACATTTCCTTTTATGTATTTGCTGCCCCGTTCGTGGCTAACTACAGGGCATCTGCTAGTCGAGCACGCTCGTTTACGATCCGTAAAGTGGGTTATTGTTGTCATTGCATTTACTGTCGCTTCTTTGCTTTTACATGCTCGTACATACTCTAATATATTATTATTTTTTATTGTTTTTCTCTTGATTTATGCATGTACGAGCCTTGATTTTATATTATTCAAAAATGTACCCATAGCACGTCGCACTTTTATTAATATTGTTCCTAAATATGTAGTATATACATATATCTATATACATACATGTTGTGAATGTTTCAATCTATTGTTAGCTCCAATAATGCTGGTTTAACAAGTTCATCAAGTGAAATGTTAATCTCTTATTGCACCGGCGACTGCTTAAATTATTAAGTTTATATATCCACATGAGGATATATTTATTATGGCTCAATTGCGGCCTCAAATCAGGTCTGATTAGAGGAATTAGATCACGGGCTCGACAAATTTCAGTTGCTTTGCGTCATGAAAAACTTAAAAAACTTGAAGCAATTACCCGGCGTCGCCGGGTCGGAAGCAAATAATGATCAAAATGCAAGCGCTGTCGACGTATGCAGATCCACTCCGTACCTAAATTTAGCCAGCTATGAGTTTGAACCAGCGACCTTACGCTTCCTAATCCAACGCTCAATTACTAATACAAACGTCTAACAAAATTGGTAAATTAGATATCCCTTATGCATATTGACATTTACTGAATTTGAGCCAGCGACCTGCCGTTTATTAGTCCGACGCTCGCAAAACTAAAAGGCGTATACATTTCCACACAAATTGCCAACTCATGCCTTTTCCCATGCTAGACAATTAATTGGCCGGTGAATTTGAGCCGGTGACCTGCTGCATTTCAGACACTTACAGACGTTTACATATCCACTCCAATTGCCAACCCGCATCTTGACATTTTCTAACCCATATCCACAAATTTGCTTGCAACTGAGTTTGAGCCGGCGACTCGCCGCTGAATTTGAGCCTGCGACCTGTTGCATGGCCACATAACATCATGTTTGTCAAGCACACTCCCATGCAGGGCTGCGAGAATATTATATATATATATATATATCAAGTATTGGATATAGTTACAATCTGTTCAAACGGGGACTCAAGGCCGGAATTTTCGGTCATAGCGTATTATATAGCATATTGTTTGTGAGTAGAAACCCTAACCTTTTCAAATAGACCCGAACATATCCGCACTACGATGTTCCTCCGTCTTTGTCGCTTTCGTGTTCTGAATTCAGCCATAAACCGGATAGACCACAACACTATTTGTTTCACCTGTTTGCGCCACTTGACTAATTTTTGTGGGCGGTCAATCGTTTTTAGCCAATTATGCGGCAAGCGTTTGGCTTGGCTTGGCTTGGCTTGGATTTGGTTGGGGGGCGTCAAGATTGGTGGCGTCTGGCGGATCGGGTCGTCAGCCGGCTGGTTGCGTTTTTTTAATGAGTTGTTGTTTATTGGATTCCATTTGCATTTAAACATGACCAACAAATATTTATTATTTGTTGTTGTTTGCGGTCGCTGGGCATTTTATTTTCTTCTTAATTTTTTGATTTTTTTTTTGGCTGTTGGATTTTTGGGCCGCTGCTGCTGCCGCTTCCCACACAAATTAAAGAACAATTAATAAATGATAATTTCGGCAGCCCACAGCCCATCCCTCAGCTCGCCAGTCCGGCAGCTGACTCCTTTAGGCCCCAGCAGAACCATTCGAGCTGTCGCCTGTCCATTGGCATCATCATCACCAGATGTCAGTTGGGGCCAATTTGTTAGCCAGCTTTGCCTCGTCTTCTTCTTGTTGCCCTTGTTTTTTGGCGTCTTAATGAATTCGATGCAATTTATATTCATTTAATGGCCAGAAGCAAATTTTTATGACCATCTCATAATCACATTTTGAACACACAATTTGTTATTCCCCGATACGTAACGCGTATTACGCATCTCGCAAAATGTTATTTACATGTTTGTTGTGGAATGTTTAACTCATTTATGTCGCTTTTCTGCTTTCAATGAGTAGTTCAAGTGTTTATTATGTTGTTTCCCGTTTAACAATCTATTTATTACTTTACTCATTTGCTCAAAATCGATAAATATCGATATTAGAGCTTATGAGAACTTCAATTCATTAAAAATTAGAAGTTCCAGCCAAGTTCAAAAGTGGATAGTATCTAAAAGCTGCGCAAATTTTAAAACAATCGAAGCATAAGAATACTTTTTTCAGATTATGTAGTTGGGACTACTCCCAACTAGAATCTACATTCTCAAGTGAGTGCAGGGATCTCTCTCTCTCTTTCTCTCTATGAAGAATTTGAAGCTTGTTCGCGTCTTTCCCAAATGTCTTCAAGTTTGAACGAAATCAGGCAACTTTATCGATAACAATTGAGATAGATAGAACCTCGAATTTTGTAATCGGAAAAAGTACTCCAGCTAAATATCGTTGATTTTAGCCAAGATCGATTGTATCTGCCATGTCATGGGACGAATGTACAGGTAAGAGCATTAAGTTTTCGGTAATTGAAGCGGCGACTGATGATTCTTCAGCTACGTTGGGTTAAGTACGAGTAAATGCTGTGATAATCTGGAATTAAAGTTCTCAAAGGTCCGAGTGTACGATCATAATGGAGCTGCAGCTGGAGGCGGCGAGGAGGGATTTGTGTGTACGCCTGTCAACCGGCATCAGCGTACTCCGCCGGTGCCCCTGGCCCGGACCTGGCTTAGCTTTGGCATTCATTTTCGTTTTTGTAAGCGAAAATCAAAACAAATGTTTTATTTAAATGGTTAATTTGATCAGCCGCTGCTGCAAACCGGAGTTGGAAGCTCACAGCTTGAACCTCGATTTGCGAATCTCAAATCTGGGATCTTGACTCCGGCATCCCGTGTGTCTTGCAACGCCCAAATGAGCAGCTTACACGATGATGATGATGATGATGCTGCTGCTTCTGCTGCTGTTGCTACTCTGAGGAACAAACACAAATGAAGAACAAATGATGCGTCTCTGCCAAATCGTGAGAATTGCATTCGAGCCACACCAAAAAAAAAAACAAGTAAGAGGCTCTAGTCGGGAGCTCCCGACTAGGGGATACCCTGAACCCTCTTCTTCCAACAACAAATGCATATATATATTCTATTTTAGAAGCTATATGTCAAGTTTGGGGACTCTAGCTCTTATTATTTACCAAAATTTCCCAAAAAACGGGATATCGATATCGATTTTTATCGATTGCTTGGAAACGGAGTAAGTTATCGA